CGTTATTCTACAAGACTCACTGGATCTCCTTCGGTGTACTTTTGAATTGAGGCCTAGTATACAGAGAAAGAGAGATACTTTATCAACTGCATGGGACCTTACTGCTAGTTGTCTAGTAATGTATACTTCCGCAATTAACGTGAAGCCGCCATGCCTTCCCTGAGCACAGGACCCAGGATAATATGGCAATTTTCTGGGTCACGCGATGAGATGGTGTTACTCTTTTGACGTCACCAATTTTCAATTAGTCACGCAACGGGCTAACGACTGGGAGACCTGGTAATGAGCACATTTTCCTTCTTCCCTTACGGGAGGAAATGTTCTTTTAGTATCGCTTATTCACTGTGGCATTCTTGGTGTTTTGGTGCTAATTAGTCGCTCAATATATCCAACTGGATGCAAAGAACGCCCTCATCGCAGGTAGGTCATGAAAGTTGGCATTGTATGCGTAAAATATGACACTTGATCGAAGTTCAGTTTGATTTCATTTTATCAACTGTCCGCATAACTCATTACACAGTGGTTTTAAGGTTACGTTAAGGAAAAGTTCAGTAGGAAAGATTTATTTAAAGAACTTCCTCTTGGAGTTGGGACTTTGCTTTCGTTCTGTTCAATGCTATGATGCCCATGGCACATAGCTGCAAGTAAACGAACCGTTCAGTTGTGGAACTTAATCGATCGAGTTAATGTAAGGTAAGGTAAGGTAATCGAACGCCATCGAACCCAAAAAAACTCTACGAGAGTTTCATTAAGATTGATTTCCGAAACTAGTCAAAGTGAATCAAGCCCAGCAAGGTCTGTCTCAGCATGGATCATTTAGCAGCTCTGGTAAGGGCTCCCATGAGTGGCTCGATACTCCTCTAGGGAACAACAGAACAAACAACAGAAACATTGCCCCAAGCCCCAAAACAGTAATAGCTGCTACAATAATGAAACATTAGCAGCTCACGAGAGCTGCTAACACTTGTGCTTCGCATGCAAGAGGAAGTTTTAGTAAGGTTGATTTAAACAGACTATCATACCTCCACTGAAATTCTATTATGATCTCCTCATCAGTATAAGTCAAAATTTTCTTGCAGTTTGATCGGTTCTTACTTATGATCAATTTCGGGCGTAGACCAATAATCGATTATCAATCAGTAACAATCAATATCATTCGAAGATTAATTTTGATTGCCTATAGCAATCAATGAAAATTAAATTATAAAGAAAAAAGTTTTGAGTTTGATTGTTATTGATAGCCTATATAGTAGCCTGAATAACAGTTTTTTTACTGACATCGATTGGTAACGCAAATCATTTTTGTCCTTTCACAAGTTATGCTGATAAAATGATTGACAACATTTGTCTTTAATGGTTTTATTAAGTCCTTTTATCTTCATATAGCCTGCGTAGCTTTTACAATCATCAACAAAATAACAAGAGCAGAAATGACCGACAGAGACATTTTAGGCTTTACATCTTTCTTTGCTAGTTTATGACACTGGAAGAAGCTCAGACCAGAGTAGCAGTGTAAAACCCTGTAGTCTCATTGTAGCATTGGAATTTAGATGAAGCAAAAAACAGAGTCAGTGTTCTAGTGATTTTAAATTATTTGCATTTTCAATCAATAACAAATTATCGATATTTCTGAAGACAGAATTGTGAGCAATTTTTGTCAATCGATAGCAGTCGATAAAAATTTTTTTCGGTGAGTTTAACTGTTAGCAATTGCAGATACCAATCAATAGCAATTGGCAATTGATATCGAATTGATATAATTTGATTAAATCGATTGGAGGACAGACTATAGATGGTGTGATAAACTTTTTTTGTTTAAAAAAATAGATAAATAAACTTTATTGGGCAAAGACTATAAATATATATACAGACTAAGTAAGAATATAAATAAATAAATAAATAAATAAATAAATAAATAAATAAAGCCCAAAAGGAGAGGGCACGAATGAGACACTCAGACCCATGCGAGGTGCCCACCCATAAAAAAAATAATGATAAAATAAATAAAAAATAAAAAATAATTAATTAAATAATAAGCTAACTGTGGTGGCACAGGCAACTCTGTGTGATGGACCTTGTACAGGCCACATGTACGTCATAAACTGACGTTAAGAGGGACATAAAAATATTTATCAAAAAGGACTTAAAAGAGCTCGGGCTGGTGAAGCTGTCGGGAAAGCTAAACTACATACAGTGTTCCACAATCTTACCATGCAAACAAAATATGGGGCTTGGAAAGTGCTGGTCTTGCAAGCCCAGACAGTGAGATAATAGTATTAAGCCAGCTGTCTGGCTGTGACGCGTACTTGGGTCATTATTAAAAGTTAAGTTATTACTAACATCTATATCAATGTAGCCGTGGATGGCCTTATAAAAGAATAAAATGTCTTAAATGTCTTTAATATAAAACAAAGAGATTCCATCATTGTTGCAATTAATTGTGTGTATTTAGTAATAGATTAGTGACACACTTGCACAACAGCTCATACGTGCCACTTTTTTTGTTCTTAAAGCCTGGTTTTCACTAGTGACACAAGCACAAGTACAAGCGCATTTTAGGGATGACCCAAGTGAAAATGAAATTTGACGCAAACACAAACACAAGCAAAATCATCTGAACCTTTCAAATAGTTTAGGTGCAAGGTAATCTGGATCCTGTGTTTTCTTTGGCCAAGCATAACCATGCATGTGTGGTAAATATCCTTGTGCTTGTTTTATGCCTGAACAGTATTTCGTTTTCACTTGTTGCAGTGCAAACGTATGTTTGCACTTGTACTTGTGCTTACGCTTGTGTCGCTAGTGAAAACCAGGCTTAACACATTTTGATGTCATTTGTGATGATATTTCTGAACAGATGCACAGCAACATGGAATCTCTTTGTTATATTGAATTTCTGCTAGTGTATAACTTGAGCAACATACAACAGTAGCAACAGCAGGTTGTTTGCTAAAGGATTAATTAGTTGTGAGCAGCTAAGTGTCTAGAGTAAATAAAGCATTGTTGTTGTTGCCAAGGGCTGTCTTGAATTGTGGAAATCATTGTTTAAAGTGTGAATGTACTGGTACTTTGTTGGATATCCTGAAACACTTAAAAGAACATAATATTGATCACACACAACAATATGGTAAAGGGGTCTCCATTTACAAGTGAATATATGAAATATCATATTTTATTATATAGACATGAGTGTTTTACTTGAAAATACACCACTCTTAAAATTCATACGAAACCACATCCGGGACTCGGGTGGCATATTTTCCATATCCTCACTAGTGAAGATATCGATAATTTCACTGATATCAAGTTGGTCTCTTAAATTGTACTTAAATGCGTTGGTGTACAATCAAAACATCTTCGGGTCTTCCTCAAAAGTCTTCAGCAATATTCGGAAATCTTCAGAAATTTTCAGTAAATGCTTGGCAATGTTCATGTGACCTTCGGACAAGCTTTGGAGAATCTTCGGAAATCTTCAGAAAGTGGTCGGCTATCTTCGTAAAATCGTCCAATAAGCCGTCATCAGTATGTCTATATAATAAAAAGAACATTACACGTTAGCTCGAAAATATGAATTTTATGTTCTCGCGGCTGAAGAACAATATCTCACTCGTTCACTGTGCTCTGACTCGTGAGATATTGTTCTTGCCACTCGAACATAAAATTCATATCTTCTCGCCATTGTGTAATATCCTCTATATATTTGAACTGCGGAGAAAGATATGAAGACAATGATTGATCATTGAAGCTTTATGCAACTTATATTAAGCAGTTGTGAAATTTTTTTCAGGCTTAATTTCACAAATGCTTTAATAAGTTGTGTGTACCTGCAATGATCAATTTATGTCTTCAGATCTCTATTTGACATGAAAATTAACGGCAATAACACTTTTCTTTTTAGTGGGGTTGCAAATGAGTTGTAATGCATTGTCAATGAAAACCTTACCACCAAGATGCAGTCAGTAACTAAGAAGAAAGCGTAAGTGATGTTGACCTAGATGTGTTGTAATAATTTTATATGTATAGTTACTGTCTCAATGTACCTCAACTGCTTTGCTGTCATATGGTGTGTGACAACATTATTGGAAAATGATGGACAGTAAGATGGTATAATTGGAAAGCCATGGAGGCTACTGTAACTACTTAAAGATAGCGTGAAAAAATTTTACAATTCTGGCTTTTTTAGGGTTTGAATATGGTGACACCTTATTGATATTCAGGCAGGGCTGCAAATAACAGTCGGTCATCGGACATTGGCCAACCAAACTTTTCTCATGTCTGATGAAATCCCAACTGTGGGCGGACATGATGTCCGGACAATTTTTTATCGTAAGTCATTTTACAGTAAGGATGAATCTACCATGAGTATATCTTACCTTTTTTGGTGATGTCCGGCCACAATTTGTTTTGTCTTAGCAAGATGGTGTTTTAGTAGGACATTAATGTCCTTTCAAGAGAAAAAAAATATATTTGCAGCCCTGTTTATGGCACTCTAACCTTCTCAGGTTACTTTGATAGTGAACAATCGACGGTCTTACATGTATTATTTAAATGCCTTGGGTTTCTGCTGTAAATTAATTAAAAGTTTATGTTTTCTGTTGTAAATTATTATGAACTGATGAGTGCAGAAATGAAAATAATGTTTGCTTACTTGTTTAACTTTTAAACTATTTTTGACAGGGATCTAAAAATTGTTATTCTTGGGGATGCCAGTGTTGGAAAAACATCATTGATTCAAAGATACCTACAAGGAATTTTCACTGACAACAATATTAGTGTGGGTATTTTAATTATTTATTACAGACTACAAAATTAAAAAAAAAACTGAAAGTGATTATCTAATTATATCCAGCTCTACCTGATGGAAGGAAAATAGCTTGCCAGGTGATGGGGACTCCTACATTAAAAGGTTACGGACGCTTGTCATCTTGCTTAGGGGTATAAATCAAGGGTTCTGATCTCGCTTAGCTAGGGTGTTGATGACAAAACATCACTACTTTGAGNCAAGAAATAGCTTCAAGGAGAAGCCTTTCTTCGAAACCAGCGCAAAAACCGGCGAAAATGTGGAGGAGGTGTTTGATTTTATTCTGAACACTTGCTTGCCGTTAGACGACGAAGAAACTGCGAAAAATTCCTTGCGACGGAAATCTGGGCTTAATCTTGAACACAAATCATCGAATTCACGAAATGACACTAAAAAGTGCTGTTGATTATACGTTCGTCTGTTCACTTATGTTTGTGTGGTGTTTAATGTACTCTTCCAAGTGGTGCCCAAGCAACAGGGGGATCAGAGTTTGTTCGAGTTCATCAACAAAGATTTGCCTAAAGAAGCGCTTTAAAAGAGGCGCGTTTTCATTTGCACGCGCAATGTCAGCCTTTCTATGCCTTAAGATGAGGCACAAGAAAAAACGCTTAGAAGACTGAGGAGCAAAATGATCTGGGTACGGGATTATATGGGGGAGGGGTTGGGAGGTTTACAATTTTCCCGAGGGGGAGATAGGAGGTTTTCTCTTTTCTCAGTACTGGATGAAGTGTACACACTTCGTCCAGGGTCCCGTATTCGCTAACATTATACAGAGAGGTTTTTTCAACTCCTCTTGTGCAGGCTTGTGAATGCATAGGCGTGTGACTTGCGACGGAACGCGCGTCCGCTCCCGAATAGCAGTATTCCGAGCGCGGGAGTCGCGCTTCTCGTGCTCCCTTGCAGTTATCACACGAGATAGAAAAATAGAACTATAACCTTAACGACGTCTTTTCTTTCGTGTGATGATGGTTGAGAATGAAAAATTCACCATCAAGTTAGCGAAGATTGGTGATGTAAGCTAACCTGTAGACTACATTGGGCCTGTTCACAATAGCGACATAACAGCAAGGTCGAGCAAAGGCAAGAAACTCCCGCGTCATTTGTGGTCAGTGTGAACTACACAAGTTATGTCTCTAGTGTGAACCAGGGTTTAGTGTTTCTTGTTAGGTCATTTCATCGATGAAACACGTATTTTGCTATTTTATATAATTTTTTTTGAGTTTTTTTTTTCTTTATTTTTGGGACGCGGTATAATTTGTAAGACGATCTTCATTGAGTTGTTCAGTTCAACGTTGTGCGATTTTCAAGTATGTGCCTATATCTTTTAGTCCCGATGTTAAAAACATGCCGCTCAGTACAAAACCACGTAGGTGGAAACAATAGTCCATGTAAGTAATATTTAATGACCGCTGAAATCCAAATAATGGTTACGACAATATTAATAAATAATAAGAAACAAAGCAACTGCCGTGAATCGAATTGTTTAGACGGCGAAAAGCATCTTAAACACTCTTAAACGCATTTACATGGGTGACCACCAAATGCCCGTGGGATATTTTCACACTGACTCAAAGAGGACTCGAAGAGGTCTAATTCAAGAAAAAGAATTAGAACTAAATAAATAAATCACAAGTGGCATGGTATTTAGCCCTGCTGTGTTAGCAAGGGTCACTATAAATCGAGAAACATATTGTAAATGGAAATATAGATTCCAGTGGCTGACCAGTGGCTGATCTATGATCACAGTCTCTTGAAGACTTAAGCCTGGCTTTCACTAGCGACGCAAGCACAAGCGCAAGCTCAACAATTCTTATTTCACCGTGAAAACGGCCTTGACGCAGGCATAAGCACAAGCACAAGGATCAAATTATCCCTTTCTTGTACTCACGCTTATGCTTGCGTTAGCGTTGCAACAAGTGAAAACGAAATACCGCTCAGGCTGATACCACGAGCACAAGGATATTTACCACACGTGGTTGTGTTTGGCCAGTGAAAATATTGGATCCAGATTACCTCGCGCCTAAACAGTTCGGAATGTTCGGATGATTTTGCCTGTGCTTGTGTTTGCGTCGAATTCCGTTTTCACTTAGGTCATCCCTATTGCTTGCGTTTGTGCTTATGCTTATGCTTGCGCTTGCGCTTGCGTCGCTGGTGAAAAACAGGCTTTATTATATGGCAAGCTCCGCGAGCGGGCAAGATGAATCAAATCCTGCGCTGTGATTGGCTACCCGAGNGTAGGTAGAAACGATAGTCCTTGTAAGTAATATTTAATGACCGCCGAAATCCAAATAATGGTTACGACAATATTAATAAATAATAAGAAACAAAGCAACTGCCGTGAATCGAATTGTTTAAACGGCGAAAAGCATCTTAAACACCCGTAAACGCATTTACATGGGTGACCACCAAATGTCCGTGGGATATTTTCACATTGACTCAAAGAGGTGACTCAAAGAGGACTCGAAGAGGTCTAATTCAAGAAAAAGAATTAAAACTAAATAAATAAATCACAAGTGGCATGGTATTTAGCCCTTCTGTGTTAGTAAGGAACACTGCAAATCGAGGAACATTGTAAATGGGACTATAGATTCCAATGGCTGACCAGTTGAGTGTTTAGAAGTCTTCAAGAGGCTATGATCTATGATCACAGTCTCTTGAAGACTAAAGCCTGGTTTTCACCAGCGACGCAAGCACAAACGCAAGCACAACAATTCTTATTTCACCGTGAAAATGGCCTTGACGCAGGCAGAAGCACAAGCACACGGATAAAAATTTTCCCTTTCTTGTACTTGCGCTTACGCTTGCGTTTGCGTTGCAGCAAGTGAAAACGAAACATCGCTCAGGAATAACACAAACACGAGGATATCTACCACATGGTTATGTTTGGCCAGTGAAAACACTGGATCTAGATTACCTCACGCCTAAATAGTTCGGAATGTTCGGATGATTTTGCCTGTGCTTGTGTTTGCGTCGAATTTCTTTTTCACTTGGGTCATCCCTATTGCTTCTGCTGGCTTGTGCGTGCGCTTGGACTGCGCTTGGGCTTGCGCTTGTGCTTGCACTTGTGCTTGCGCTTGTGCTTGCGCTTGTGCTTGCGCTCGGACTTGCGCTTGTGCCTGCGCTTGTGCTTGCGTCCCTAGTGAAAACCAGGCTTTAGACGGGGAAAAGCAATGCAAATCCGGTTATATTAGCGGCATCGAACCCGTGCCCCCAGTCGCCCTCACCACTAGGCCACGCCCCTTTCTCCTCCTCTTCCTCCTAGAAATCAAAAATGAAAATAAAACTGTTTGGAATATTTGAGGCAGGCTTGTGTGTCAACTGAATGAATTGCTTGTTTTTCTGCAAAGTGTATTGAAAAAAATAGAGGCAATAGAAATTGAAAAGTTTTTCGCCAACCCTTAAAGTTTTTCACCTAACTGAAACGGCAATGTATCTCTTCAGTTAAAAATCATCTTTGATTCATTAGTAACCAAGAATCGGGTAAATACTACAAAAGAAAGATTTTTTGCGTGCATTGAACTCAATGTGATCTCTTTTGTCTGAGCTCCCCCAAGAATTTTGATCTATTCTAACTAACCTATTCCGAAATCAGCTTTTAATTGGACGAGGCAGCGTGGCCGAGTGGTTTAGGACGCGGAGGTCCCTGGTTCAAGGCCTCCACCCTGCCAATAGCGGAATTTGTTTCTCGGTAGTCCGGAGTTCAAATCCTCGTTCACGCTTTGAAAATAGCCAACTGGTCTGCCTCCTACCAGTTGGCATTTTCAACTATGTTACGTTTATTTGAAATATTTGTTTCCTTTGTTTCAGTGGCATGCCTGTAAACTAGCTAAGCTTAGTGCTTTTATAGCTAAGTGCGTGACCACTATGAATAAGATTTGCATTTTACAATTGAAATTGCCACATAATTATCTTTTACGTAACGCTAAGAGGGCGATGGAAACCAAGTGCGAACAGTCTTATCCGGTTACAGACTAGCAACGTAAATGGTTTTTCTACCACTATTGATATGATTTTAAAAACGAGCGCGCACTCTAAGGCCTTCTATCAATCGATCGTAGCTGCCTGTGTAGCCAATCAGATTGTGAAATTGCCCGCAACAGTTTGCATCGCACAGCAAGTGGATTCAGCATGCTAGGATCATCTAAATGTCTTGCTGTTTTCATATCAATCCTCTATGCATGCCTTAGCTTCTGGAAAGGATACCGTTATGTTTATAACATAGTGCGGTTTTCAACTGATTGTAGTAAAACCAAAACTACAGTAATCACTCTCAATAGCCAATCACAAATTAAAGGACACACACAATACAATGAACCAATCAAAACTTTTCGAAGTAATCACATGTAATTGACGTAAAGTTCGGGAATACGTGTGCAAAGGCATCACGATGGGAGTTGGTTTTACAGTCGAACCTGTATCTAACACGTGCGGCCCTGTATTGAGCGCCCATCCTCTTTTAATTGGCCGCCCTCTATTAAGCGGCCAGTTTTCAAAGCCCCGATTTTTTGCTCATACAAACGCTGTATTTGTTACCTGTATTAGGCGGCCACCTCTATTAAGCGGCCACGGCCACCCTGTAGCAGTCATATGTTTGTCTTTCTTTGTTACTTTTACCTCTGTTAAGCGGCCACCCTGAACGTAACAACTATGAAATTGAACGTAACAACCATGAAATTGAACGGAACAACTATGAAATGACGGAATGAGATATTTTGTTGTGTCATAGAAACACAGTACTGTACACCGTACAAGAGAAGAGGACAATTTATTGCACAGTACTTTACACAATGTTACGTATATTACACCGTTAAGTTACAAGTTGGCACTGAACCTTGTTTAAAGCATTGATCGCTTGAAAGAGCGTTGATTGTCTTACTGCTTCCCTGCGTGAAGTGTTTTTGTACGAAATGCCATTAAAATTGACATTAGACCGCGCCCAGTGAGTATTTTTAGTGACCCTGTATTAAGCAGTCAGTTCCTCAAGTCCCGAGGGTGGCCGTTATATACAAGTTGCACTGTACTTCTGATTGGATGAAAAAGCTGCGCCAGGTTTTTAAGCCAACCGTGCAACGTTGTAATGCACC